ATATGACCAATACGAAGTATTGTATTTCATTACCAGGAATGCCCCCCGCCCCATTTGATTGCTCATATTAATTGCAATTTTAGAGAAGTTTTCATATCATTCATAAATTTAAGACAGTACTGTTGTTAAAGACAACCAAATATAACTGTTTACCATGCCTCAAGACATTTTTAAATTTTAGAAAAAAAAGTCAATGTGCCATATTTGAATGCTTTCTATTATTAAATATTGCTTCCAATTCTGTTCTTGTGCTGATTTATCATATAATATAAAAATGCATAAATTCAACACATTATCATGCCAACTTAAATAAAAGAATTTTTGGTTCATATGGATTGTTCAGTATAATTTAAACATTTAAACCATGTTACCATGATGGACACAGAACTCTTATGATAAGAATGATTCGTTTGTAGAAATGTTGTAATGCTCTTTAAAACTTGGTAATGAAAAAATCCTCTCTAATGTCTTTACTTGTAGTGAACAATAAAATATCATAAAAATTCTGTTTTAATAGACTTTCATTAAACTTTTTCATAAAGAAATTTGTTGAGGAATTGTCTAAAATTAGGTACTGATGGATTCTGTTGGAATGTATTGTGGTGTCATATGTTACCAAGTGATGATGTGATCGCATCCATCAACAACTTGTATTTTGAATTCCACACTGTCTCATCACTCTTTCACAGCCATTAGCACTTTACGCATATAAACCATATCACCCAAAGTCTGGAATCTCTCCCTGGTAATTCTCAGACACATGCATACACTAAATTTGTTTCAACATAGCAAGATAGTGCCTAGTACTACACATATTGTTTTGTTTTATGGGTTATTTAATGTATTACATAAAACCTAAAAGTATGTAAGGAAATTCAAAGCTGCTTTCTAACATTTACAGAAAAATCCAGCCACAGTCAAGACAAACTTTATGTACTGTAAAGGGGTTAATTATTCACTGTGTTTTAATTTTGCTTATTTCGCTGACTGGAAAATGCGTTAAATTAAAACCCAGTGAACATGTAAAATTCAGCATAGAAAACATTATCTAAATGATAAAACTGTGAGTTTAAAACCCACTGAATATGCCTGAAATGCTAAATCAGTGAAATTTAAACCTAGTGAAAATTAGTCATTTTACAGTATACACTGTATCAGTAAAGAATTGACCAGACAGGGGTGGAATGTGTTATAATGAGTAAGGATTGACTGCTTTTCCAATGTTGTACACTTACTTAATACATAAGAACAACTTTGGGGCTGCCGTATGTGTTCTGTCTATAATTGGCATAGCATGAACAACCAGATAATATGTTACATATGATTTAAAAATAGATTAATGGTACAAATGATAAGAGGTGGAATGGTATGGTTGGTGAACTGCTAGATGGGAAAACAGACTTAATTGTGGCACCTTTGACCATAAATAATGAAAGAGCCACATTCATTGATTTCTCAAAACCATTCAAGTATCAGGGCTTGACAATCCTAGTTCGAAAGGTAAGTCTCATGTTTATAAGTTGCCATGTGATTAAGCAATGACCCCTAGATCTTCAGTATGGCAGCTAAACTTGGCAGGATGTTCTGAATTTAGACACAACTATATGTTTTTTTTGTGTGTGTGTGTGTGTTTGTGTGTGTACAAATTCAAAACTTCTGCCTTGTCTTTTGACTAGCGGCTTCTGAAAGTTGCCATGGTGACTTCTGGAAAGCTGCTTGTCAGTCTCCTGCCATATTGGATGTCTGCAACAAGGGTCATGAAATGTTAAAGTTCTGATGGGAACAGTTGATTTTATCTTCATTTTGAGTTGTGGACATGGAATTTGCTACTTTCTGAAAAACATGGAACTGACCATCACTGTGTGTGATTATTGTTTCCCCACACTAACTTTTGCTGTTTTACTTTCTACATGTCCTCTTCTAAACCCTCTGCTTTTTTAAAACATCCTTTGTAGTGAGTGTCTCCCCATTGTGCAAGTCACATTTGCATTTCCGAGCATATGTTATGCAAATCAACATACCAATTAGCATACTGTGTATTCATTGGCTGATTGGTGTTGCTCCTAAGAAAACGATCAATGAGATGTATGCATTTTGAACTTTGGGTTTTGATGGGATTGGCTTGCTTTCTGAGGTGACACTCACTCAAACATGTCCTAATTGCCTGCTATTTAAAACAACGCAGTGAATACTTATCAGCTTTGCCTGTTGAACTTTTGTGGATTTTTTTCACCAGTGAGGGCGCTCTAGTACTGATACAACTACTACAACTACTTTTACGATCTTGTAGATAAAGCAATAGTATATCCCTATTGCTCTTTTCTTTTTTTAACAAATCTTATCATAACATGATAATATTTTAGTTTATTATTTCAATTGAAGGTTTTCTTGCCTGTGTTCTTGCCAAACTAGTATTTTTTTCGTTTAGCAGCTATTCAATAGTATCTGAATAGGAAACATTAGATGAATTGCATTATCAGAAAGCCGTCATCATAAGTTATACTCAGGAAAAAAAATAAAAATCAGAAAGTCAGATAATTCCACGAATATACATGCAGTTAAACAGTGGTTTTTATTATACATGTACTTGATCATGCTAGATTTTCTACACTTTGTACACAAACCTGTTATACCATATATGACACACCATTTTCAGCAGGTTTGGGTATATTTTTGCTAAAGTTATTTTTAAAAAATAAATATTTGGTGCAGCATAATAACATAATTTATTTTCACTGATTTTTATTATGATTTGCTGCAGCAAAAACAACGAACAAATATTAAAATCTACAGTGCTGTTTAACTGATACATATTTCCTTTGTTATAACAAAACACTACTGTACAAAGTTAAACTTTGATATGTCGTATACATTTATATACAATCAATGTGTAAGTCTTTCCATACAATTAACGACAGTACAGCAAAAAGAAACGAGGCTTCACCTTCTATTTTTGTGGTATGTTGGGATGCTTTTTTTTCTCAGCGCACTGTATGGTGGTTTTACTCGCTTCTCCGTCATTAAAAACCATAGTCAAATTACCATACAGGCTTTGGAAAATATCTTGCTGAATAAATCACATACATAAAAGGTGAAGCCCAGGACTGAGTCTATAGATTGTAAAATGTTTAGGTGTTGCCAAATATAAGTATGATGGTATTTTCTTGGTTTATAATATAGGGGAAAATTACTCGCTGCTCAACTTGCAGCGCTTGCAGTTTACAACTGGTTTTCATGAAATATCGTTGCACTCACTTTTGAAAATCATCCACTGAGAAGTGTTGCTTTATGTTTTATTTGTTTTATTTTCCCATTGCTGGGCCGAGTAATTAGTTATTTTGTGTAAAACTTGACTGTTTTTGAATGAAAAATGGCTGACATTGTCTACCGTATTTGATGTAAGCCAAGGTGTGATTCAATAAGAATAATGTTGTGCTTCTTGCACGTCAAGTACGGTGTGGCCATGTTAAATTCCTAGTTATCCACAGTGTATTATATCTGAATGGTAAGTTTATCCCTGCTTACCTCTGTCATCAAGACTATAGTGCAGTACGGTCAGTGTGTTAGTTCTTACTTGCATTCCTCAATTGTGTAGCTGTCGCAACTGATTTAATTTAGGGTGTACGCGTGTTTTTAGTCAGGTTGTCCCATGCCAACGCATGAACTGCACTGCAAACATTTCTTCAGCACTACATTTGTATTAATGATAATAATATGTGGTGATAGTTGATCATCTGTGTCATGATTGATCATTAAGAATATATTATTCGGGCCTGTATGCGCGGAAAAAAAATAATAAATACCTCATAATAAATATAGACAAAAAAATTAGCAATTGTGTAACTGATTGAAATTATTGATGATATCCAGTTTCAAATTTGTCTATTCAGCCTGTGATGAGTGTTAGTGGATGGGACTTGTGTCTTGGTGAGGGATGTATTTACACATTGAGAATAATGCATTGTGGCTATTACTGGTAATAGAACCATCTTTCTGTACACGTCTGTCACTACATCTGTTATCGTAATCTCTCCATGTCACTTGTATGACATTCTCCGGTCTACCACTCGTGTTATTAAATTCACTGTTTGTTTCTTGTTCTACAGTACAAATTGTCTGTTCTTCATTTCAAAACACCTACTTCTCTTACGTCATGCCTTCTCCCTCTCAACAGTTGTATCTTCAAACCGCCACCCTCTTCTCTCCTTTTCGTTTTCCTCCCTCCTTTCCCCCCACTCATTTCTTACAAATTATATATTAACCCTTACGTTGCAAGTAAAATCATCACAAAATTGCCTTCTTTTTTTTTTGTACATTTTGCGTCCTCGGCAAAAATCCTCATCAACAGACCGTTATATGCTAGGAAACAATACAAGTCGAAGAAAAAATAAAACACTCACTTTTATTTTTGCTGTTTGGTCGTAGCACTCAGTAAGGGTTATATTTTTTTCCAACCGCAAATAAATGTGTTTTTTTTCCAAGAAAATGATTGGGGTGATCGATATTGAAATTTAACGCTTTGTTTCAGGGCTTGACATTCCGAACAAAGGAGGTGAGTCAATCTAAATTTGGCATGACAAGTGACATAATTGAATGTTTTAGTCCAAGCACACCTTGTCTTTTAATACACAGTGTTAATTGGTGGAAGTAGTTTCCATTTTTTACTGTCAATTTTTCAAGTAAATTCCTCTTCTAAGATGAACTTTTCAGACTAGTATGTCTCACAGCTTGTCTAGATTTGCCACACCAAACCCTGTTTTCCTGCCCACATTTTAGTATAATTACAAACTAACCCAGCTGTGGATGTGGAAAATCGTCATATGGGGCCTCCATGTGCTTTCCCCTCTTCCTCACTGGTCCTAAAACATGCCCTATGCTGTCACAAGACTTCTGCTTTATATCAACCAAGAGTATATTTTGAGGGGGAATGTTGACTTAACTCTTTCATATTATAAGTGGGTGACATGCTCCCAGATTAATTCGCAATCCTACCTCAGAAATATATTCTTGTTTGAAGTACTTGCAGTAAATGTATACACAGGATTGTTATTTTTCGGTGTAAGTTGGTTGTGCCAGTTTTATTTTGTTTGCTTTATTGTCATGACTCTGTGAGGTTATGCACTGATCTACATGTATACAAATGTATAATGCGTGTGGTTTGATGTGAATCACAGAACAAGTATAATATCTATACAGCCACTATACATGTCACAAACATACTGTGCTATTAAAACATCTCAACAAAGATGTGATTTTGACTGTGAAACTCTGTGGTGATATTTGCTTTGTACATGTGGCCTAGTGTCTTTTCAGCTTATACTGCAGAATGATGGTGTTAATTTTACATGCATCTATGATTCAGTTTCATCATAGTGTTATTGGTGTCTATATCAGCCTAACTTGTGATTCTCTTCATCTCAACTCTAGGTGGCTCTATCACCGTAATTTTTAGATAATGTACATTATATTGAATAAGGTCATAGTATACTGTATCTCAATCACTCAGACAATATCAGTTATTTGAAAAAAATAATTAGTACGCTATAGACCTTTGAGATGTTTTTTTTTTCTAGAAATTAAGTAGTGGGTTTGTTATTTTAATAATTTTCTTATACATATGTTGTCACAGAAGACTCCTGAGTCATTTAAAATTTACAACTAATGCATTTCCGCTTTGTCTGTTGTTGCGATTACTGATATCTCTTACAATTCCAATTGAAATGGTACGTGATTGGGTTAAGTCTCAACCAGTCTCTAAGTGCTTTGATGATTGTGAGTTTTTTAATGACTTCCATCCAAATTAATAGCATTGTGATATTTATTGGAAATGTTATCACCGTTGGTACTATCCAGATATTGGTGGTTTCAATGACCTAATAAGATCTCTTTATGTTGGTAGACTCACATCACAATTCTTTACTTGTAAAATGCTACTTGATTTCATTCTAAGGTCTAATCCATCCATACCAAGTCAAGAAATATAAAATTATGTCTCGGCAATCAAGCTAAATTAAACCTCTGTAATTTGGGAGTATTTAATTAATTTAGGCAATCGCTGTGTGGTTGTGAAGTGAAAACACTTACCATATATCACTGATGTTTGAGTGTTAACCCTGTTGAACCTGACATTACGAAATTTGCATGATTGCCTGTCCTCCTTTGCTGTTAGCTAACCTTGCAAATTCATGCAAGTGATGGCATTTAATGGTACAAATGACCCCCCCCCCCCCCCTCACATGTGGGGTGGACACCTATATCCAAAATTGTTTGTTTCATATTTGTTTGCTTGGGTTGTACCATTCCACAGGAGTGGTGTATTATTTAGGGGCATTGTACATACAAATCTTTCAATATTGATGTACAAATTTTCTCTTATAACAATTTTTTTCCCTTTTAATACACCTATTAATTCAACACATTTTTCTTGTAGCATTTTTACCGTCAATGTAGTGTAACAGTCTGACCCCCTTCCATTCCTTATATAAAGGTTAAGTTTTGCTGTTGGTTTCTCTGCCACCTCTGTTTAATATTAGCATTCCTATTTAATCTCACTAGTTTTTGCCTTTACAAATGTAACTATAATCTTATATTCTTCTGACCATATTTAATTAAATTGTTATGTATTTTTTCACCCCAATTTTTGCTTTTAATATTTGTGTAATTTGTCTGTTATTGAAAAAAACCCATGGTTTTAACCACATATTTTTTCTTGATACTCTAACTTGCTATCGTTTTACAGGAGTTGAAATTAAAAGTTGCCTGTCCAATGGACAGGTTGAAAAATTGCCTTTCCTGATTAAGATACATGTACCTGTTCCTAACAAGATATTTTAGAACATATTATTTGAAGTAAAATGTTCATTCTTGAAAATTTTTTGGACATTATAGTAATTTGGGACTAGGCCATTTGGTCACTTAATAACAACTAGAAATATTTATTTACCTGTCTACGGGAACAATTAATTTCTACTTGTAACTGTCCCATGTCAGATCTGCCTGTCTGGGACAGGTGGACAGAATTTAATTTCGAACCCTGTTTTATGTACATATAAAGGAAGAAATTGTAGTAGCATTTGTTCGTAGTTGTGCATGTTTATTGCAGGTTTCTTGTATCTTTCAGTCTTCAAAGTGGATCTGCTGCTGTTTCTGTTTTTGCTTTAACGCTGCATACAGACAGATCAGATATTGCTGTACTCCATAAGTTATGTTAGTTACCTATATAGAACTATTTTTGATCACTTACGTTTGACATGTGTTCTACTCTACTCTCAAAATCACTGGCTCAATCTTTGACTAGTTCCCATACCAAAAACTGGTTATCAAGTTTTTTTTTTTTCGATCCTTGCTTTGCAGTGATACAAGTTACTTTATTGTTACAGTTACAATGCATCAGTTTTAGGTCGATAGGTACAAAAATATACATAATTCATCTTGGTTGATGATCAAAGAGTGAAAACTTTGATATTTGCAGTTCAGTTTCCAGCCAAATGGTACATTTAGCGTAATGTAGCATGCTGCCTGTAAGTCTGCCTGTCCTGTAAGGACATTTTTCTTTGTAGGTCAAATTGAGGTCAAAAGGTACAATTTAGCATGCATTGTGTATTATATCACAGGTATCACAGGGATAAAAACAGAAGAGATTTATTTCTTTGTTAGTCAGTTTGAGGTCAAAGGGTAAAAAATTAACATAATGTACATCATAAGATAACTGGCTAGAGAAGGTAATTAATTGCTAGTTATAGATCAGTTTGACTTACAATGTTAAAGCCTAGAGTACAAGAGGGTAATAAAATTAAATACTAGAGTGCAAATACCAATATATTCGGTGTAGGGCCAAGTGTTGTAGTTTAGAATGTTGAGTGTTCACAAACCATTGGTAGATGAATCCTGAATGTTAATTAAGGTGAAGTAGTGTAGATTGAAATAAACTAGATATCCTGTAAACTAATGAAATAAATACTCCAGTATGCTAATAAGATATTCTAATAAATAGCCATTCAATAAACTGTTATGCTAATGAGGTTGATATACTGTATAAAGCTTGTAATGCTATTGAGGTACATACAGTGTATATTGTTAACTGATATGCTGATATACAGTATAAAGCTGATATGCTATTGAGGTAGATACAGTGTATATTGTTAACTGATATGCTAATGAGATAGATTTCCAGTAAACTGTTATGCTAATGAGGTTGATATACTGTATAAAGCTTGTAATGCTATTGAGGTACATACAGTGTATATTGTTAACTGATATGCTAATGAGATAGATTTCCAGTAAACTGTTATGCTAATGAGGTTGATATACTGTATAAAGCTTGTAATGCTATTGAGGTACATACAGTGTATATTGTTAACTGATATGCTGATATACTGTATAAAGCTGATATGCTATTGAGGTAGATACAGTGTATATTGTAAACTGTTATGCCAATGAGGTTGATATACTGTATAAAGCTTGTAATGCTATTGAGGTACATACAGTGTATATTGTTAACTGATATGCTGATATACAGTATAAAGCTGATATGCTATTGAGGTAGATACCGTGTATATTGTAAACTGTTATGCTAATGAGGTTGATATACTGTATAAAGCTTGTAATGCTATTGAGGTACATACAGTGTATATTGTTAACTGATATGCTGATATACAGTATAAAGCTGATATGCTATTGAGGTAGATACCGTGTATATTGTTAACTGATATGCTAATGAGATAGATATCCAGTAAACTGTTATGCTAATGAGGTTGATATACTGTATAAAGCTTGTAATGCTATTGAGGTACATACAGTGTATATTGTTAACTGATATGCTGATATACTGTATAAAGCTGATATGCTATTGAGGTAGATACCGTGTATATTGTAAACTGTTATGCTAATGAGGTTGATATACTGTATAAAGCTTGTAATGCTATTGAGGTACATACAGTGTATATTGTTAACTGATATGCTGATATACAGTATAAAGCTGATATGCTATTGAGGTAGATACCGTGTATATTGTTAACTGATATGCTAATGAGATAGATATCCAGTAAACTGATATGCTAATGAGATGGATTTCCTGTAAACTGATATGCTAATGAGATCAATATTTAGTAAACTGATCTGCTGATGAGTAGTATTTATTGAAAATAATGTGCATCACACCATGGGTTTTTTGTGTTGTGATTCATGTTGTCAAACATAAATCATTTGAGCTGTACTTGGTATAATGGACGTTTCTCTGCATGTACAGCTACAAAATTAATGTAGTTCAGTGAAGAATAATTGTATATACACCAGAAAAGTGGATAGGGAAAACAGTTTGACAGCCATGCTCTGTACATGTTTACCTGTGAATCAAAAACAAATTCTACACAGCCATTGTATGGAACACTTATAGAACATGAATGGTGTTCAACCACCACCATTTATACTATCATGAGTTCAAATAGAAAAAAAATGTTTGGCAACATTTTATGTTCTCTTCTGTGTTTGTCTTCTGACTTTTCATGTGTGGTGTTTTTGTTTCTTTTTGTATTTGTATTTCACAGGAGGACTCGGGAAGCAGTCTGACGTCATTTCTTCAGCCGTTTGAAAGTGCACTCTGGCTGCTTGTCGGACTTTCAGTTCATGTTGTAGCTCTCATACTTTACCTGCTTGATCGATTTAGTCCTTTTGGACGTTTTAAATTAGCCAATGAAACCGGAGAAGAAGAGGATGCACTAAATTTATCGAGCGCTATGTGGTTCTCATGGGGTGTCTTATTTAATAGTGGAATTGGAGAAGGTGAGTGGTTTTCCCATGAGTCAAGTGTCTAGTAATGAATCTAAATCTGTGGATAATGTACATTGATACCAAGCTTTTTTTCAGGAAAGCTAATCTTAAATTTTTTGAATTAATTTTAAATATGCCTCAAATACTGTAAAACATGTTGAAAAAGCGGCATGCAATTTTAGCGAATTGTGGTAAAATGACGTAATAGCGAAATGTTGATTTAGCGAAACTCTCTTGTCATTGTTGATTTCTTTGTTTGACGGCCATTTTGAATTTATAATAAAGTCATTAGCGACATCTCAGATTAGCGAATCAGTTCTCTCGCTAAATTCGCGAAAAAGACATGCTCCCGAAAAAGACATGTTTAACAGTACTCTCACAAGAGTTCTTTGCAAACTAAATTTGATTATTGAATAACGTTAATTTGTAGGCCTTTAGCATAGCTGCAAGTGTTTTACATAACTGGAATGCATCTATCTATGTGAGAATTTGTTATTGTACATTTTGACTAGAGTGTGAGGTTTTAGGCCCTTCTGTTTAATAAGCACTCAAGAAATTTAATTTGCAATAGCTTCTACATCCCTGTTAAATTGTTTTGACAATTTCCCATGCCCACTACCTAATGTTTCTTATTAAACAGAACAATAGAAGTGAACATAAAACATTCATCAGTGTAATTTATTCAAAACATTAGAATATCCTATATCTTTGTGTATGACACCAGTTGTTTAAAAAGGTTTCACTCTCATTTATAAAAACTGGCTGATTCAGTATATGCAACATTTAACCTAGTGTTGGTTGTGATAACTAATTTTAAATTGTTATGCTATTATTAAATAAAGTTTGATATTTTCCACTGGTTATTACAATGAACTGCAAAACAGGATTCAAAATGGTAATAAATGATATGTAATGCTACTCTACTCTGACCATTCCGACCATTCATGAACAGCGCCATCAGTGTACATATATTGTAGTTTCTTTTATTTTTATAGCAACTCAAAGTTATGGTAGTGTATTGCTTCACTGGAGTAATTGAAGCTGCCTGCCCTAATCTATGTTTAGATGAAAACATAGATCTGAAAGGGGATTAGGGGACAATGTTGCACAGTTCTTTCAAACATTTGTATTTTACACGTCAACCAGTGCTAAACATGTATATTATCCATGTGATGGTTTATTCATACATATTCCCTTATTTATGCTATACAAGGTACACCAAGGAGTTTCAGTGCTCGCGTATTAGGCATGGTGTGGGCCGGATTTGCTATGATCATGGTAGCGTCATACACTGCTAATCTGGCAGCTTTCTTGGTTTTGGATAGACCAGAAGCTAGTATTACTGGAATCAATGATCCTAGGGTAAGCATTTGACATAGATTCAACAACTGAACTTAAAGCGAGAGGGTCGTCACGTGCGCACGCGCTGGAATTAAGTCCCAAGTGACGATGACAGCATGCTCTAAAACGCAAAGGCTCATGGGTAAACACTTGTTTGTAAACAATGACACGCTATGGCCATCTGATGCATGCGAAGGTGACGAATCCTCGCTTCAAGATTCACTCCACTCTGGCCATATGTAGATGCATGTATCGTTTTTGCTCTAGTAGCGCATGTGCTTATAATACATAAATGTCTATATATACAAAATGAGTCATATGGTAATAATTCAGTATACATTACATAAACCTGTTGGTTTACAGGCACTTTCTATGAGATGCGTTTTTAATGGAGCAAATATAATAGTACATGATAAATTTTAGTGTGATTGTTTAAATTTGTGTACTTATTCTGAATCAATGGCATCTAACATAATCTAATATAGGTAGTTGCTGAGGAGTAAAACTAATCTCCTAGCTTGCATTATATGTTGAAAGCTATAAAAAAACTTTCATTTTCTTCTAAAAGTACTTCTGTATTTTTTCTCAGTAAAAAATCTATAGACATTTTTCTACAATTAAAGTGGGGTAGTAATTCTATCGTACATACTACATTTACTTGAAGTGGTGAATTACTTGAACCTTTAAGTCAATATTTTGTTACCTTTCAAAAAATAAAACCTATTTTTTTTTTGAATATTTTTTCCAAAAAATTAATCCAGATCTGTAGCCAATACGAAAGTATGTTCATTTGAACCTAAATTATTCCAAAATATTGTATATTTAATAAATATTGTATATATACATGTATTGAAAATGCATAAAAACAGGCAACATTTTGTACCAACATTTTCAAGCCTGTCAAAGGTCAAAAGCCTGGCACTAATTGGAAGACCAAATTTCTTGATAACCCGCATTTGATGAAGTGCAATTTTGTTCTTATAGTTATAATTGCTTACACTTCAGTCACTGTCCACAAAAAAAATTGCATAATTTTGTCGTATTTTGTCAACAACGTGATCATGAACTGCAGTCAGTATAAAAGAGTATTTGTTCATTTGATCCATAACTAACAAAAAATGTGCAAAATACTGCAATGATATGTTGGCAAGAAACAGTTACGGCGTTAACTTACAATTATCACTCACAAATATTTTGTTGTAAATTTACAGTTGCGTAATCCTTCAAAAGAATTTACATATGCAACTGTCAAGGGTAGTTCAGTTGAGCAGTATTTCCGACGACAGGTGGAGTTGTCTTCCATGTATATGTTTATGCAGGA